TTTGTTGAAACTCAACTGTAAATTTTCATTTTCCCTGATTAGTTTTTCTTGCTAACTAGTCATAAGCTATTGTTGCATTAACAAATAATTTGAAACTTGATTTGCTAAATGATAAGCATGATTTACTGAGAGTACTGGCAATTTTCTAAGTTAATCTTCATAACAACCTCATAATACAGGCACAAATATTACACCAAATTTACAGATGAAGAAACTAAGGTATGCAGAAGATAAGTGATTTTTCTGCGACCAGTAAGTGGCAGCACTGGGATTTGAACACATACGGTCTGGCTCACACTCTGAATTTTTAAGCCATGCTCCCTCTTGTATGATATGGGGTATTGAGACAATTTAATAGAGGTTTTTGTCTTTTCCCCTTCGTATATATGTTGGTGGAAACATTTCCAAATACTCATTTTTAGAATCTGTCACTATACAACGAGGTTTTTTTGAAGAAGTAGTTTTTTCCTCACTATGTGTTAAAGTATCACATTTACTTCAAAGGCATAGATTATGTGTTTATCTTTTCAAAAATGTCTGTCAGACAGCAGATCACTGATATGACAACCATTTGCAATCAAAGAACAGGGTAGCTAATTTGGAACACTTGTCATTTATTAAAGAAAATTGTAAGGCTCATCTTTAAGCTTAAAACTCTTAAATACCTTGGCTAATAGAAAACCAACAAACCGCCTTGTGGTTTGAAGTATTGCAATTTCTTCTTATGCCTTAGTGACTCATCTTGTAAGAGAGCCCCATGCTTCTGATGGTTTCCCAAGGCTTGGTCCATTTCAGACATTATATTTTCAGCTCTAGAATTCAATTTGGTTCTCCTTTACATCTTCTGTTTCTCTCCTTCTCTCCTTATTATGTTCATTTATTTTTTCTTTTCTTTTCATACTGCAGATTGAGCCCAGGGCCTTCACACTGAGTCATATCCCCAGCCCTTTTTTTATTTACGTTTTTATTTTGACACAGTCTCACCAAGTTACCCAGTCTGGCCTCAAACTCAAGATCCTCCTGCCTCAGCCTTCCAGAGTGCTAGGGTTATAGGAGTATGCCACCATGCATATTGTTCTTTAAATCCTGTAGGTCAGGCCTCCTCTGTGACCACTTTTCCTTTACCACTCGCCTCTCTCTCCACTGCAGCCACCTACCTTCTCTGTGCCTTGAACATGCCATATTCACACTCAGCTTGGGCCCTTTGCGCTGGCTGCTGCCGCTGCATAGAGCAAATAACTGTGCTCGACACCCAGGTCCCTGTCCCAGGTCACCTGAGCCTTTCCTGTTAACTTGTCTCAGGGATCTACCCCTTCTTCCTTGGACTCTTGAGTCTGTGCACCCTGTTTTCTGTCTGCCCACTCAGCAGTACTTGAAGATAATTGTCTTGTTGGTATTTGCTTCCTGTCTCTCTCACTTCACTAAAGCTTTTATAGAGCTACGCTGCCAGCCCATGACAAGCCTTTGCCAGTAGATTTTTGTCCTGTTCACTCCCATGTTCCCTCAGCACCTGGAATGGCCCTGATGTCAGAACATGCACATCAGCCTCCAGCTTCAACTATTCTTTGGCCCATGCCTGTCACTCCCTGCTCCTTGCTCCCCTGCCTGCTATTTCACCCACATAACTGACTCCCCACAGTATCCATCAATCCAAATTCTACTTATCCATTAGCAAAACCACTTGAGTATCACCACAGGGCACTAGTTTACCTGGTTTATCTGTCTCGCACCCCTCTGGCCTTCAGTATGGCCTCTCTTGCTTTAACTTTGTTATTTTATGTACCTAGTTTACCTCTCATGTGAAGCTGGTTCCTACTACACCAAGTATTGTGTCTACCCCAGCCTAACCCAGACTTTCCCCAGAGCACAGAGTCACTTACGAAATACTTGTTAAATTAGTACTTGAAGAAACAGAATTGGCTGCTGGGAAGCAGAATTCTTAATTAGAGTTTTGCATATCTGTTTGCCTGGCCAATGTCCTTTCTCTGTCTGTCCCTGGGTAAGATGCCAGTGCCTGACACATTGCAGCACCCTCCCCCAGCCTCTCTGTGATGGCTGGAATTAATGAGATAATGTTACACGCACTTAGCAAAAGGTGCTGAATAAATACAGGTGACAGTATTGTTGTTTGTTATAATTATGTTCTTTGAGTCCTGGGTGTATAATGAGCTACAGTAATACCTCAGAGAATGTTTTAGGAATTAACTGTTAGATGATTATAAAACACTGCAAGTTTGTCATGGAGCTAGTAGCAAAGCCTGCTGAATTAGAGGAGATCGGGAAGACAGGAGTTACAGGAATTTTGTGTGTTCCTCTTTTACATATGGGTGTGTTCTCTTGCCTCCCCCAGACAACTCCCTAATTGAGCTCTGAGATCAGAGCCTTCTGACATGCAGCATAAGACCTAACAATACTTGTTGGGGGTTTAAATGGCATTGGAAATCATTAACGAGACAAAAAGCTATGATTTCCCCAGATTAGCATGCAGGTCGGGGTTTGGCTTGCTGAAATTCATTGTTTTGGTCTCCAGCCCAAACATGCTAGAGTCATTATATTGTCATGTGGTAATTAGCTGTTCCTTTAATACAAGTAATAAAAATTAAGCCTAAGAGGTACTTTAGCAATGCTTTTTACATATCCCAAAACAATATTCAAATGCTGTAGGCATTTAAAGTCATTCAGCTGCACATGGTAAAGGTGGAAGCGTAATGTATATAGATGTTTGAGTATTCAGTCTCTTCCTAGTTCTGTGACCAGTTTTGCTACTTTGGCATCAACCTTTAATCATGTTCAATTAAATATAGAAGTTGTAATGAGTAATTAGGAGATTGCCTAGATTTTCATTTACAGTATAACACTCTGGAAATTTGTCCATAGGACTAGTTACTATTCACTTGATAACGTGTGTGTAATTTTTATGTCACTGGATTCCTTACAGAATCACATAAAGGAAGTTACTTTCTCGTCCAAGTAGACCTAGTGGGCCCTGGCCTTTAAAAAGGAATGGGCTGGACATGTTGACAGGAATTTTAAGGCTGGAGTGCAATATACCCTCTTAGTTCTTTAAAGCTATACTTGGTACTAGCAGTTGTGCAGGAAAGCCAACATGAGTGGATGTGAATAAAATTCTCTACAAGTGCAGTGGTACGTCTGGCCTTTCTTTCCAGACCTCTGAATCAAGTTCAAATTGTAGCTGTTTGTGGAGGCAGCTGTGGGCATACAGCTCATTTCCTTCAGGCCATTTGCCCAGCACGAGGCCATGGAGGAGGGGAGGAGGCACAGGAAGGTTTCCTAGGAAGATACTGAAATTCAGATCTAAAAACAATACCAGCAAAAAAATAACTGCACCTGAAATGTTCTGACAGTTCCATTTTTCCTGTTGTTACTGCTCCTTAGAACCATCTCCCAAAATTGCTTTTGAAATCTAATTTGACATAAATATTTTAATGTTGATTAAAATAATAATGAAAAGCCATAAAGGAGAAGATGATACAGTCAGAGACTATGTACAGGCACTGAAGAAATGGCCAGTGGGCAGGGCTTTTCCATATGGACCACGTTGGCATCAAACCTGGCACTAAGCTGTGCTGACTCAAGCCGACATAGCCCAGTGCCGCCTTGTGTAAACTCTGTAGAGACATTGGCATCACAGAAAGCTCCTGGCTTCTACCAGGGCCCAGATCTCACTTCCAGAAAGCAAGGGTGGTCTGAAAAATTAATGGCTCTGGCATCGGAAAATTAAGTGAGCTCTTGAATATATACCCTTGTTGATCTGCCGTGCATGGTGTTTAGCATTCCACAACAGGAGACTAAATCTCCACAGCCATCTCATAAGTGAGACTGGCGCCCATGCCAGAAATATATTCAATAATCTTTCCAAGCCCAGCAGACTTGAGTATTCTGCTCTAACAGAGCCTGAGAATTCCTAGGAAGTGCTCCACTGGTGCCCAGCAGGTAGATTTTAATTACTTCCTAGGCAGCAGGAAAAAAAAATGAAGATTGAACAGACGCAGAAGAACATTTAATGTCTGTCTGTCTTCTGCTGAATGAATGGTAAAGCCAGAGGCCAAGAGTCAGCCCTGTAAATTGCATGTCTGTGGCTTCCAACTTCAGATTAAAATCTGCTGTTAAGGAACTCTGATGGCAGATATCACATTCAGTTGGTCACAAGACCTCATAGAGCTGACCCAGATGCTGTCCTGATCTTTGTGTTATAATCAGGAGCTTGGTGACCCAGCTGGCCAAACTGGGCAACTGCTCACCCCGATTGTTCTCAGCGTCAATAAAGGAGGGTGGCAATGAAAAGTGACCATGTGCTGAAATAGGTGACCTCTTCTAAAGCCCGAGTGTCTCTTTCTCTCAGCTGGCCTTCTTTGTTGTGAAGAGTGGTCACTTGGAGCTAGCTGACTTGGGTCCACCTTCTCTGTGCACACAAACTAGCCAGGCAGCCCCGCCTTGGGCAAATCCCTCCATTTCCCAGAGCTTTGGTTTCTTTTCTGTCCCATGTCCCTTTTCCCAGTGCTGTGCAACACAAATGAGAAAATGTTCACCACCACCCAAGTGTTCTGTGAACATTGATGCTTCCAGAGTGTCAGGTGTCACTTCCAGCTTCATAAAATGACTGAGTACTTTAAGTTTATAGGCACCTGTCTAAGCACAGGTCTAGGCAGTCAAGGATTTTTTCCCGGGGCTCCTTCCCTTTCTGCCCATGAAAATCATTAAAGCATTGCACCATGCCAGAGAGTTGGCAGATACCAGTGACTCCCAAGGCCACCATCACCCAATTTTCACACATTGAGGATCCTGGGGTGGGTCTTTCCTTTGTCAAATGGCAGAGAAGCCCCCACCTGGCCAGTGGTCCCAGGGCTCTGTGGGAGGAGGCGATGCCCCAGGGGAGTCTGCAGGAGGTGGCTTCCTGGGCACCCAGGAGGCCACTTCCAGCCTCTCCTCCTTGAGGGTCAGTTTCACAGTGGGTTGATGTGTGCTCTCCTATTGTGCAGACCCAGTGCCAGCCCTGGATCTGGGGCAGCAACTGCAGCTCAAGGTGCAGCGCCTACACGACATCGAGACAGAAAACCAGAAACTTAGGGAAACTCTTGAAGAATACAACAAGGAATTTGCTGAAGTGAAAAATCAAGGTTGGTGGAAAGCATGTCCCTTGCTTTCCTTTCTCCCTGTTTTTTTTTTTTTCTTTAATTGCCTTCCTCATACTGTTGAGACTAGCTCTAGTTGTTACCCACGTCATGAAGCCAGGGTGGAGCAAGACAAGAATCATTTAAAGAGAGATAATGATAATGCTTAGCTGTTTTGAAGTCAAACTTTTCCTCTGCACAATAACTACATATGATTTTATTGCCCTCAGACGAGGCTGATCAGGATTCTTTGAAAATTCCTCCTGTGTCATCATGTGATAGGATCTGCCTTTTAAAAGACTGATGTGTTGCCTCTAGGCGACACCTGTCAGAAAGGCAGCTCATGATCAAAGGGTCACACACAGTAAGTCATTTAGTAATTGCTACTGATCCATTAAGGCTCCAGACAAGACGCATCCTCACAGGTTGTACACTTACTGCTCTTTCCTCGTCGGCCTTACCTATTCATTAACGTGTCTCATGAAAGAAAACAGCCTCTTGGTGTGGTTGCCAGCGTCAACAACGCAGAGAGGGCAAAGGTGGCCTAGCTTCTCCTGCCAGGAAGGAACAAAGAGGTCCCTCCTTCACCTAAAACCCAGATGCATTCCAAATCCCAGAGCCTCCTGGTTTCCTGTGTCAAAGAAAAATCACAGCCTCTCTGACCACACTGGCAAGCTCTTCAGCCAACTCCCCATCACAGACCACCCCGTGGGTTTTCATGTGGGCACATGGGTAAGGAATTGGGTAGAAGGGAGTGGCAGCCACTTGGCTGGTCCTATGTAAGGCCTTCAATTTAATAGGCTTAGAGGGCTGATAAAGAGCTGTAAGGTGCAGATTGTAGATTGGGCAAAGTCCTTTGGCTTTGAGAATGTCAGAGAGAATCAGGAGGAGGGAATGGCTGTGGAAGATCCAGAGAGAGAGAGACTGGGTCATGTGGGAAGAGCCAGAAAGTATAAGGCTGTGAAGGCAGCAGATCCCAGGGCCTTTTTCTCAAGGGTCTCTGAGCATGTCCCCCCTCCTCAGGCATTGATGTGCTGAAACCCTCAGGCAGCTGGGGTTGATGGTGTGTAACTGAAACTGGAAAACATAGGGGACAGGAGATTAGGGGGCCCCAGAGCCAGCCCAGACCCTACCGCTGTCTGGCTCTGCAAAGAATATGGTGAGCTTTTGGGACCTGAAGGTACAGCTTTGTCCTGCATGAAAGTGAAGCATTGGGCTTATTAAGCTGTGGTCCTTCTGAAAGAAGGCATTGCCTTTCCCAATAGGAATTCTTTCTTGTCACCTTTGTCCCAATACCTAGGTGACAGGTAACCTGTAAATGGGCACATGTGATTTGCACAGAGACACTACCTAAAGGGAATATTTGTTCCTTTGGACATCTAGTTTTGACAGCCCCACCCTTGATGTTTATTGAGCTTGCAGTTGTGTGTTGGAGGTTACAGGACCGTATGGGATTTTCCTTCTCCTTACCCTGCCTGGTCAGTGCCTCTATCCCCAGCACTGACCAGGAACCCACCAGAGTGGGGACTGTTCCTGCCCCAGAGGCCTCTTGCATGTGCTTTATAAAGGAACACAGTCCACAACCCAGAAACAAGGCCCTGGAGCCAGACAGATTTGGTTTGAGTCCCTTGGTGTCCACTACCTCACCATGTGGCCTTGGGTGAGTCATCTTGCTCAGTAGATACCCTTTGTCTTGGGGACAGTTCTCTACTTTCCAGTAGGGTTGTTGTGGGATGAAGTGAGAATGGTGTGTATAGTACTCAGCACTCAAGAAATTTTGGCTACTTCGAGTGTGTGTGTGTGTGTGTGTGTGTGTGTGTGTGTATGAGAAAGAGAGAAAGACAGGGTCTTGCTATACAGTTCAGGCTGGTCTTGAGCTCATTGTGTAGCACAGAATGGCCTTGAACTCCCAGCAATCCTTCTGCCACAGCTTCCCAAGAGCTGGGATTACAGGCATGCACCACCATACCTGGCTTAGCTGTTTCTTGAGCATTGTTGCTTTGCCAGAAACTTTCCCTTCTTTATTTATTGATTACAAGTTTTCCCACCTCTTCTTCCCAGCATAACACAGTCACAATTTGGAAAGGCAGGGGTTGTATATCCTTTGTTTCCATCATCACAGCAGCAGTGAAGATGGTCCAGGAGTCAGAGCGGGAAAGGAGCTTCTGAGTTATGTGCACAAACCCCCACTAGAGATGAGTAAATTGGGGCTCTGAGAGTGGTGAATGAATGCCAGCATGTCACTCTCTTCTGCCATACCACCCCCTCCCGCAAATGACTAGGGACTGTGTAGGGACACAGAATGTCCTGGATGTGGATTTGGGCAACAGAGGAGGGCTGCAGGCTGCAAGACAAGCTGGCCCCTAGCTTGGCACTGCCAGGCAATGAGCGGCCCCAGCAGTAAAGAGACCCCATCAGGCACAGACCCCATGCTTCCTGGAAGGATCCCCAGGTGTGTCTCACTGGGGGACCTCACTGGAACCATGCCAAACCCTGTGGCATCAGGGTTTCAGCTCCTAAAACAACACTGGTGCCAGGTGTGTATGTCACGTGCATTCCCACAGACACTGGGGGTCCAAGAGGGAACCCATCCTCTAGGTCGGGAACACCATGCAGCCTGGTGGGTAAAAGGTAAGGGTTCCTTTAAGAGAAGAGACTCACCTTTCTCATTAGATGGAGCCCAGAGCACCCTCCTTAGAGAGAGAAGACAGAATTAAAACCCACCACCCCCTCAGGCATTTAAGGAAGAAATGGGCATGTCAGCCTTTTGAGCAGGCCCTGTGGGGCCTAGAAGAAATGATCCATGAGTACAGTGGCTCATGACGCATCCTTCTCAGGCTGTACTCTAGGGTCAGAGTCAGGCAAGAACAGGACAATTCCAAAATGCCAGCCAGCTCTACCTAAAAGCACCCACATCCTCCTTCCTAGTCCGGGTCTGCATGATAGTGAGGGCAAGCAGCACTTGTACTGTATGTACAGCTCTGGCATGGAAACGCCTGTGCAGCAAGCACCCTGATAGAGCACTCATGCCAGTGGGGCCTCGAAGTGTGACCCTGGCTGAGTCCTGCCTCTTTGGTTCATTTGTGCTGCAGCCCTTCCTGACCTATCTCTGCTGGGTGCTGGGAATGCAAAAAAAAAAAAAAAAAACAGCCCAGCTTCCTTAGGGATGTGCATAAGCCACAGGAAACAGACTCCAAGAGCACCACTCTCTTGGGGTTTGGGCCACAGTGCTCGAAGGGCAAGGAGCAGTGTCTGTGGGAAAATGTGCAGTGGGCTGTCCTGCCTGAGAGCACCTGCAGATCAGAGACCGGACCTGCTCTGTGCATTGCCTTCACCTGGTTTGGGCAGTTGAAGTGCCTGCTATCACCATGCAGGGGCAGGAGAAAGACGAGGGGCCATGTGGGGTGTGGACTTTCCCTGGCTGGACTGCCTGCTGAGGGACCTCATCTGTCAAGCACCAACTGCTACAGAACTCACTGATGCCCCAGTGAAGCTGCCTGATTCCCATCTCTCACACCTGGCTCCAGGACACTTCCTGGCCTCCTCTGAGTCACCTGAATGTCTCTGTCCAGGCCCTCATCATCAGTGTATCCACACAACCCACTTCTGTCAGAGTCTGGCAGAGAGCACCCAAATTCAAGGCTGGATCCCCCGGCTGACAAGATAGCACTCTAACCATTTAATCTTCACCTTCTCTATCCCTTGTGAAATTGCAAAGGTGTGCCTGGGCCAGAGGAACCTATAGACTCACTTGCCTCTACTTCCATAAAGTGTACATGATTGTGAACTTTTGTCTTAGTGAGGAAGTAATTAAAGCCACACTAAAACTTTATTAATCTTCCCTCAATAGGTAACTAATTTAAGACTCATCAATGAGACAATATTATGTTTTACCATTGATTTTTCTCCTTTTTAAAAAATGTGCTAGAGAAACCCAAGCCTTCCTTCCCAGCAAAATCCATTGACCACCCCCCCACCCCCCCTCCCATTCTGAACATTGCAAGTTCAATTTAACATTTAGGGAATAAAAGGTCTCTGAAGGGACATATAATCATTGATTTTGTGTCGGCATGGAGGAATTCAAGTTTAAACCATGCAGTTCCTCCTGGGTTCCAAGAGCCTGATGCAGACAGCCACACCAAACTATGCTTCTTACTGTCGGATTTTCTCTCTTTCTTCATGCAGAGGTTACGATAAAAGCACTTAAAGAGAAAATCCGAGAATATGAACAGACTCTGAAGAGCCAAGCCGAGACAATTGCTCTCGAAAAAGAACAAAAGTTGCAGAATGATTTTGCAGAGAAAGAGAGGTAAGCGTGAGTCCTGGTGCTCCCAGAGTAGTGTGACATTTTACCTCGGTGTGAGATTTTGCCTCTGAACTTGACAAGATAGTTACAAGACAGTTTGAAAGTATTCTATGAATCAGCCAGATTGTACACAAAAATCTCCAGGGCTCTAGGCAAAATTTTGCTTGAAATATGAAAGTGTCCCTTGATCGTTAATTCATGAGTGAGGCCACTATGAGTGCAGTAGACTGGTCTTTCTCTAGTGACTGATAGTGTCTGGCAGTCAGGGAGCAGAGGGTGTCTGTTGAAGCCCCACAGGTCCAGAGGTTAGCACAGCCGTGCAGAGTTAACAGGTTGGTACCTGGTGACTATGCTTTATCTGAGACAAGAGCACACAGGTCCTCCAGACATATGTCCTCTGTAGGGAAGCCCTGGGCTTACACTGAACTTTGCCTTCTTCATTGAATTCTGATACTATCACACATACACAAATCTTAGTTTTCTGTTTTGTTTTGCCTCTTTTCATTACTTCACAGCACTTCATATATCAAGAAATCCACACAAACGGGGCATCCCTGATCTGAAAATCTAAAATGTTCTGAAAAGATTTGTGTTTAGCTCACTGGTACTGCATGTACTTAGCATGTATAAGGCCAAGAACTTAGCATGTTCTTTCCCCAGCACATACATAAAAGTTAAGGATATTTGGAATATTTCAGGGTGCAGATTTTTGGATTAGGAATGCTCAACCAGTAAACTATCTAAATATCACATAATACATTGAACTCCAAAGTCTGGAACACTTGGGATCCCTCCAGAATTTCATATGAGAGGTATTCAGCCTGGGTAAGTGAACGTACCATCTAACGATGTTTAGATTTCCAATGGCTTACTTTACCGAAAACTTCTCCTACAAATGACTTGGTTTTTCATTGGTGTGATGATTTTATGAAAGATTTCTTGTAAAACCTGTGAGGACTCTTGAGCTTGCCAATTCCAACTCTGTCAGTTTGGATTTTTAAAACTGGTTAATTTGGTTAACCATCTTTGGTTAATTTAAGATATTCGGTTTTAGCCCTAGCATGAAGAAATTCATATTAACATTAACAAGAGGCATTAAATTTATAGTTAGGGGTAAAGGTCAGGTTTGGGCATGAGTCACATGGAGTTTTGTTGTGACTTGCTTGGGCTTCTGTAACGTGAGCTTCAAGGAGATCTCAGGAATTGAGGCTGAGGGTATAGCATGTTCAGTGCCCTGGTAATCCCCAGCAGCACCACCAACAACAACAACAACACAGTTTAGGTATTTTACAAGGTCTTTTGGGAGTACTGGTGTGGTTTAAAAAAAAAAAAAAAAGGAAATGCCAAGTTCCACTAACCCAAAGCCCACTTGGCATCGGAACCTTGCCAACCACTCAATACATTCTCTCACTGAGCACCCAGGATGGATCTGCACCGTCTCACTTTACAGAAAGAAAAATAAGCCACAGGCTAGATACCTGCTAAGCTTTTGAAGTTAATAATGAGGGCTGGGGCAGGACTGTGTGACTCCAGACCAGGCCCACCCAGCCACTAGAGCCACTGCCTCAGTCATCATGGCCTCACTGCAGGAGGGGGCTACCCAAGCCTGCAAGTGGAGGCTGCACCCCACCCTGCCAGGAGAGTGTGGCAGGGCACACCCCCAGGAAAACAGTGAGCAACACAGATGGAGCTCTAAAGGTGGCAGGGAAGTGGTCCTAAACAAATTCCCCTTAAGAAAGCACTCTATTTCTAAAGAGATTTTTTTCACCGTGTTATTGATAGCTAGGGAAAAATACGAGCAATCTAAATGTCCTGCCAACAAGAAATGGGTAAGTAAAAGGCAATCCTTAACTAGAATGTTACATAACCATGAAAATCATAGTTGTCTGGAATTCACAGTAACTGGAGAAAAGTATCCAACATAATATCAAGTGGAAAATGCATGAAGCAACATTGCATGCAGTGATCTGCCCACAGTAAATTCATGCATCACAAGTGTGGAAATAAACTTACATGGGAACTCAGTATTATTCAGTAGACTTTTCAAATTAGATAAAAGGAGTGATTATATGAAAAGATAGGAAAGCTAGGCATAGAGACACATGCCTAGAATCTCAGCTACTGAGAAGACTGAGGTGAAGGGATTTCAAGTTTGAGACCAACCTGGGCAATTTAGCAAGACTCTGTCTCAAATGAGACCTGGGGATATAGTTCAGTGCAAGGCCAGGTACCACATTAAATAAATAAATAAAAGATAGAATGACTATTAGGAAGGGAGGATAAAGTTAGGTCTTTATTATCTCATTCTTGATAACAAAAAATGGAATTGGACATAGAATTTAAATAATAATAATTAGGTGAGGATATAGCTCAGTGGTAGCACTTGCCAAGCATGCGCAAGGCCTGGGGTTCAGTCTCCATCAATGCAAAATAATAATAATGATAATGATAATTAAATCTCATACATAAAAAACCTTGGGTTTATATTTTTTTAATAATTTTGGAGTAGAGAAATCTAAGCATACAAGAAAAGTGATAAAAGTAAGACTAAAAAACAGATTTTTAAAAGACAAAAAAAAAGTTTTAAAACATCAACAAATTGGGAAGGAATATTTGCACCACATAAAGACAAAGGATTAATTTTCTGTATATACAAAGAGCTCTTAAAAATTGGTAAGGGCTGGGGATTTAGCTCAGTGGTTCCACTGCCTACCTTGCAAGCACAAGGTCCTGAGTTCCATCCCCAGTACCAAAAAAAAAATTGATAAGAAAAAATACAACTCTACCAAAAGTAGGCAAAGGCAATAAGCAAGCATTTCCTACAGAGAAAAGCTCAGCTTTACTCAGCAGCAAAGTATTAAGTTTGATTTTGTCAGTGTTGGCAGGGTGTATAAAACATTCTTAACATATTGTTGGCGGAGTTTAAATTGGTGAGACTTTTTTGTTGGGAAGTTACTGAATACATATTAAAGAACAAATTGCACAGAGCCTTTGACCATTACAATTTCTCTTTTAGGATTTTATCCAACAGATTTACTCTCAAAATTATGCAATCTCCAGAATGATCACTGAGGAAATGTTTAGCAGAAAGAAACTGTAAACAATTTTAAGTGTCCACAGAGGTTTCATTAAGTTAGTTCTTTAGTAAGAGTAAGGGATACCTATATATGCTGGAGTAGAACATTTCCAAAATGTGGAAAAAAGTGAAAAACTCCAGAATGGTGTGAGTTGTGATCCCCTTTGTATGAAAAGAAAGTGGATAGGAGCTTATGTTAATTACTTTTCTCTCATTCCTGAGACAAAATATCTGACACCCAAAGTTGGAAGGGAAGGGATTTATTTGGCTTTCAGTTTGTAGAGGTTTCAGTCCATAGTTGGCTAGCTCCAAAATGGGGATAACAAATAGGCCTCATAGAGGAGAAACAACATGGTGTGTTCAAGGTAACAAAGCCAACAAGAGGGCTTTAACAGCGCCTCCCTGCCCCTTTTATCTTATTCAGGCTACTTAGGGCGTGTAGCACTCACACCCTTAATCCTAGTGCCCTTGAGCCTAGCATTGCATCATAAATCAATTCCAGCTTCATACACTTGAGATCAAGCCTATGACCACATGAGGCTTTGGGGGGACATCTAGACCCAAACCATAACAGAACTTATATTACATTGTAATGTATTACATATTAGTGTACATTACACTATAGTATGTTACATATTATTTTACATTTCACTCTGGTTTGTTACATGTTTGTATTACAGAACTGAGAGTGGAAATGAAGCCAAGGAACTTTCCAAATGCTTGTAAATTTTGACTTTTTTTTAAACTCTGAGCATCTATTAGTTTTATATTTGAAATACATGGAGATACTAGCATTGATTTTTCTATGGGTGATGGAAATTAAGGTGACTTTTTAATTGTATCATTTCTCCTTTTCTGTATTTCAGGTTTATTATGTTGAGAGCATATGTTATAGTCATGTGATGTAAAAACAATAAAACTTATTTTTAGAGATTTTCTGCAGATTAGGAGAAAGTTATGCTATTTATTGACCAAGGAATTCATTTGGAGATCATGGGAAATATAAATATGTGGAATGCAGTTGGAGACACCCCGAATCTCCGCCTTCTGTACTGCACTTGCATTTGCATTCCATTATAACAGAGCTGGGACAGCTGTCACATCTCTTTAGTACATCCTTTATTCCAACAAATTCCTTCTTTGTGTCAGCAGAATGTAAATGTATCATTCTTCTCAGGCTAACTTCGGAAAACAATGAGTGTGTGATGATGGTATTTTTTTCTTTTTAATATCTGGCATCTCAAGAACAAGTGACATTTAAGATAACCTTCCACACCAATCACTGCATGTCAAGATCTACAGGATGCACACTTCAGGTTACATAACATGAGGTTACAGCGTTGGGGTGCAGGAGATTATGAGCAGGCCCCAGGGCACACAGGGCATTGGGAGCCATAGCCAATTGTGTGCCTGCTGCCAACCATGCTTCCCAGAGAAGAGAGGGGATGAGCAGAGCTCTGAGGTGCCCAGTGAAGCTCCTTTGGTAAACATAGTAACCAATCTGGCTTTCTGCTCTTTCTTTTCAGAAAGCTACAGGAGACACAGATGTCAACCACCTCAAAGCTGGAAGAGGCCGAGCATAAACTTCATTCTCTGCAAACAGGTTTGATGCTCTTCATCCTAGTCAAGTTGATGCAGGGTAGGCTGAAGTGGGTGCTCGTGGTCAGTTTCCTGGCCTGGCCAGGTACCCTTTGCTACCTGTTGCAGAGCCAAGGGAGCCCATGCTGCAGAATTCCTTCTCCAGCCCTCCTGGCTGCTGCACCTGATTCCATTAGTCATGGCTTTGAGTTGTTAATGTGGAGGTGGGAGGATCTGCATGCCATTTCCATACCTTCCACAACCATCCTCTCTTCCTGCTCTTTTTTCCAACAAACACTTCTAAATCACCAAACTGTCAAGGACTGACATTTCATTTGGAACAATAATAGGAGATGGAAGGAAAAAAACCCCTTATTTCTACCCTGAGTGAAGTTAAAGAGAACAATAATAGCAGAACCTTTAAAATTTAAAAGTTAACCAAAAAAGGTTATGCTAAAGTTTCTTTAAACTTATTTTTTCTTTTCTTTTTCATTTTCTCCCCCTGAACCAGAAGCAGCACTGTATCTTTAATTTAAATGAGAAAAAAATTAGAAAATATCATAATCCAAGTTAAAACACAAATGACAGAGGAGGAGAGAAATCACAAGCAATTTAGCAGATTAATTATATACAAAAATTAAGGACCGGACTAGGGGTGTAACTGGTAGAGTGCTTGCCTAGCATGTACAAAGCCCTGGGTTCCATCCCTAGCATGAGAGGAAAAAAAATCTGAAAACAAAGAAAGAGCCCAGTAGAGTAATGGGCAAAGGATAGGAACAAGCAATTCACAGAAGAAATATGAATGGTTAATACACATAAGAAAAAATGCTAACAAATTAAATCAATGAAAGATTGTTTTACCTACCAGACAATCAGATTTTATGCAAATATGAATGTGAGGATTGAACCCAGGGCCTTCACACTGATAAAATTCCCAGCCCCGCTCCTCCTCAGCCTCCTGGAGTGCTAGAATTACAAGTATGCACCACCACACCAAGCTCTGGATTTTTTTTTTAACTTATAATAGCCAGTGTTGGTGAAAGTAAAGAAAAATGGTCCCCACTCATGGTGCACATGGGAGTGCAAATTGCCTCCTGGGAAACCAAGTGGGTGGTATTCATGGAAAATTTGATTATCAGCATTTTAGCCAGCAGCCACACATCTAGTTATCCTGAAAGGAGAACTCATTTTTACTGATACTGCCTGTGTCCTCACATGGAAAGATTTCCATGCCCTACACCAAGGAAGAAGGGCAAATCTCCAGAAATATTCCTAACATCCCATTTATTGGGGGAAGGGGGTGCACAGTTCTGCAGAGTAGGTGTGTTCTGAGACAGTGTCACTGAGGGATTTTTAATGGTGTAGATATCAGATGCTCTCACATACCTCAGTGACAGAGCAGGCCAGTCACTTGATACCACCAAGAGACACCATGCACACAAGATGGATAAGCCTGTGGCTGATGTGACCCAGCACACTCTTTTCCAGTAATTTTTTTTTGCCATAAGGAGGAGTATATTTGGTGGGCATCAGTTCACACACCTGTAATCCCAGTACTCTGGAAGGCTGAGGCAGGAGGATTGAAAGTTCAAGCCCAGCCTAGAAAACTTAACAACTTAGCAAGACCCTCTCTCAAAAAAACAGAGTCTGGGAGTCTGGCTCAGTGCAAAGGCTGTAGGATCAATCCCAGTATCACCACTAAAAAAAAAAAAATCTAGTACATTCTAAAATAATGATAAGAAGTACAATATAGTAAATATGTAAACCAGTAACATAGTCATGTTTGAGTATCGTGCACTGTAATTGTACTTGTTGTACGTTTGTGCAGCTGGCAGTGCAAGGGGTTGTTACACCAGCATCCCCACAAACTTAAGAGTAGTACATGGTGCTCTGATGTGAAAACAATTAGGACAACCCTGGTGAATGGGGATTGTCCACCTCCATTCTCATCTTACAAGACCACCTTCATATATGCAGTCTGCATTGACAGAAGCATCACTATGCAGGGGATTACCATATGTGCAATTATGTATGGGAATATTTTTAAATGATAAAAGATGTTGAAAAACAGGAAATCTGTGCAGTAAACTATGAGCAGTAGTTCTCTTAGGAGGCACTTGGGTTGAAGTGAGGTAGAGATGAGAGGGACTTTCTGTTCCACTCATGGTACTTTGGTCATCTTTGCCTTTTGGAGTTTTTTTTTTCTTTTTTTCTTTTTTTTTTTGTGGTTGTAGTTGTTGTGGGGTTTTTGTTTTTGTTTTGTTGTTAGTTTTTTGTTTTTGTTTTTGTTTTTTGGTACTGGAGATTGAACTCAGGACCTTGTGCTTGTGAGGAAGGTGGCGGAACCACTGAGCTAAATCCCTGGCTAAATCTTTTTGTTAGTTTTTTGCAGTACTGGGGATTGAACAAAGAGCCTTCATGGTGAGCTGCATCCCAGCCCTTTTTTTATTCTGGGATAGGGTCTCCCTAAATTGCCTGAGCTGCGCTTCTGCCTCAACCTCCCAGAGTTCTGGTATTACAAACATGTGCTACCATGCCTGGCATCTTTGCCTGTTTTGAAATCAGAACATACTACTTTTATACTTTTACTTTTTAAATTTAATTGAAACAATTAGTGTCTTGTATCATAGTTTTCTGTCCTTGCCTTTTAGCCCTGGAAAAAACTCGAACAGAATTATTTGACCTGAAAACCAAATATGATGAAGAAACTACTGCAAAGTAAGTCCCTGCTCGGTTGTACTCAGGTCACCTCTGCTTCTGCAAATCAATGAGAGATTGGCCTGGCAGGTTTAGAAGATTCTTGGCTAGTGTGCCACTATGACAACACAGTATCATTCCAGGGAATCAGTCACATCAGATTAGTCCCACAGGTGTGACACCAGGCAAACCCTAGTCTGTGCTGGCTGGTCCTTCCGGGTAGAACTTCTTTCCTTCATTATTATGAAGCCTGCTCAATGCCTCACTCTTTTTCTGTAAAAAGTTTGGGAAAGAGCTTAGAACAGACACAACACCTGGGCCATTTCTTTGTGGAGGTTGGTGTGGGCAAACTACTTACCTTTTACCTGGGCCTCTTCTCTTCCCTCAAGACCTCTAAAAAAGGTTAAGCACATTCCTGTGTCGGTGGATTGGTTCTTGTGACCCCTAACAGGTGAACCTGTGCAGGGACAGATTTTTGAGTGGGTGGTTACCCAGGACTTGCTTCCTGCCTGACTCCTGTCAGGGGAAGTCAGCATGATTCACTAGGAATACACTTAGTGCCACAAACAGAGAGAGGACATAATATTGCCATATGTCACTAGAAGATGATGGAGTGACAGAGACCACTCCTAGCCATGCCGCCTTTGCTAATAACCAGGCAAGTGGTACTAGACTAGTGTTTGAAATACTTTTTCCTGTGCTGGAAGGCTCTTTTCCCACAGAAATCTGTGTGCCTGTCAACAGCAGTGTTCTGGGTGCCCAGTGGGCACTGGTGGGGGTGCTACTCCACTGGCAGGGATGCTGGTGCAAAGCATTCCCATATCTCATTCACACTTGCCCTTGGGCTTTGAGGTTGTGCCCATCCACTACCCTCCAGACACTGAGTGGTTGGGCTCCTAACTCTTTACTCTGGGCTATTCAGTAGTCCAAGGCCTTGAGAGCCCAGCTAAACAGTCTGATGATCAGAACCCACTTTGCCTGCAAACGTGAAACTTCTGCACAGAGACCAAAGCATCCTGGTCAGTCTCTGTGTCTCTGGCTGACTTATTGGACTATATAAACCCTTTGGGGGCCACCAAATCATTTACCCTCCTCTCTGTGTATGCTGAAATAGGACTTTCTGGATGCAGAATGAGCTGGGTCTAAGGTAGGGTAGAGGTTAAAATTTTGCTTTGAAATTCTGTGGCTCTGGTATTAAGTAAGTCCTTGTGTTCCTGGGGCAGTGCTATCTGAGAACACAGCTGCCATTGGCTGATGGGAGGGCACCCATGCCTCACAGCCCCCTCATCCCCAAGCTATAACCACAGTAGAAACCACCAACTGTCACAATGAAACTCGGTCACCTTGCCATGCCTCAGGGTTCCTGTCCCCTTTGTTTTGCTACCATTTCATCTTTTTTTTTCTTTTCAATTATTTCTGTTTGGACTTTATTGTACCTGTAGCATTTCTTTTCTAAATAATTTGATCAGTAGATGATTCATTAATTAATGTCTTGGTCAATTCTCTTCCACATCATTCTACTGGCTGATATATTTCTATATGGCAATATATTTGATCATACCACTAGTTTTCATTACTTCTATTAAACCATATCTCTTTCTAAAAGGCATCAGTACAACTTAAGTATTTATAATTTTGTGTCTCCATAATTGACCAGAGTTTGCTTTATTATGCATTTTAAAAACACTCTCATGACAGTAAGTATTGGCAAAGATGCAAAACCAAGGAATTCTTGTACCTGTGGATAAGAATGTAAATTAGTACAGCTATTATGGAAATCAGTAGGGAGAGTTTTCATAATACTAAATCTAGAACTACCGTATGATCCTGTAGTTCTGCTTCTGGGTATATATCCAAAGGAAGTGAGATGAGTGTGTCCTCTGTTTGTACAACATTGTTTATAATAACCAAAATCTGGAACACCCCTAGTGTCCACCAGTGAACAAATGGATGTAGAGAATATGGTGTGTATACATGGTGGAATACTATATAGCCTTTAAAAAGAAGGCAATTCTATTTTTTGTGACAATGTGGATGAACCTGGAGGGCATGCTGAGTGAATAAGCCAGGGACAGAAAGACAAATACTGCATGATCAAAATGACAGTAAGAACATTCAGTCTTGAGGCTGTCACGAGATTGAGTTTAGTCACCCCAGGACCTCCAGAGGCTGGTCCTCCTGACCCCTAGACCACTCAGAGAACTCTGGCCTGCTGGCATCAGCTGGGAAGTGATGTTCACTGGCATGGATTCAGTGAGAAAAGGTTCTGGCCCATTCCCCTCCTACTGGCATATGTTAAGGCCAAAAAGACTTTTCCCCAAAACCCAAACAATGAAATTTAATACATTACTATGTTTAGTTACATAAACCTACAGTTAATGGAAACTAGCATCCAGAAGTGTGGGGGGAGGAACAATTATTCTGTCATAACGTTGCCTTGTGTGGGAACGATAGCTTTTGTCCCCTGGCTGCTGACAGGGTTGTGACCTCTCCTGTCCTGCCCAGTGGTCAGTGGCGTGGTGAGCAGATCACATGGGCCAAGAGACCGGCTTAGGAAAGTGGCAGGCAAGGCGCAGAGATGGCAGGCATGCCCCAAGACCATCCTCACTACACCACACCTCCCCCCCCCCCCCCCCCCCCCCCCCCCCGCTGACTGGATCCTGAGCCTTCCATGGCTCAGCAAGCGGAAGGCCATTGCAGCTCTTTGTGACCACTTCTGGGATCCAGGGGACAGGGCATGGTGCTGTTAGCTAGGTGCCTGGCAAGGTCTCTGCAGGAGGCAGGCAGCATTCCTCCAGGGACACACAGAAGCAGGCAGGTGTCCTGAGGTGCAGGAGGGAGGAGGAAAGCTGTGAAGAGCAGCACAGTGCCTCGTGGCCAGTGCTAGCAGGATTGTGCCATGCCCGGGCTAGAACCCAGAAGTTGAGGGCCCTTGGGAGGAGCTGTAACTCCATGCCTTACCCTCCCCCCACCTGGACTCCCTACAGAAGGAGAAAGAAGAGAATCACCAGCAATACTTTCTCAAAGACAATGAGGCTTTTTGTTGTTCTTTTTTGAGTCAAAGTCTCATTGTGTTGCCCAGGCAAGACTTGAACTTCTGAGCTCAAGCCCAATCCCCCTGCCTCAGCCCACTGAGTAGCTCATACTACAGGTGCAGGCCACCACACCTAGCTGGGACTTGGAACTAGAAGATGAGTTATGGTAAGATAGCAGGAGGCTTATGGAACTGCCAGGCCAGGCTGTTCTTGGGGAGGACCTACCCAGGGTTCTGAAGGACTTGTGCACTGGGACGTGCAGGTTTGTGGGAGTGACAGGACTGGGCTTTGCCTTGAACCTAGCTGGCACCTCCCTGATCAGAAAGGCTCTGGATACTAACAAGACTAACTGACTACTCCTCAGCCTATGTAATAATTCATAGAGAGTGTAAAGAGTGCCCTGAGGTGGTGGGGCTGGGGCTGCTTTCTTATCTTTGGAAACAGAGGTCTCAGTATTAGTGATCCCATACAAGTACCCTTCCTTGCACATGGCTCTCCCCTTATGTTCTCAGAAAGGTTTGTCACTTAATTATCTACCTCAGGTCCAACCTGTGTATGTATGATTAGACCAGACATGTCTGTTCATAAATGGTCTTAAAACATTTCAGGACATTGTGTTTTTCTTCCTGATAAAAGGGATTCTCTGTCCTTTGGTGACCAAGAATGTAGATGGGCTTTGGAGATAGTACATCACTCGGTTCTGTCTGTGTGTCCTTGGCTGGGCCATGCCCTCCCCAGCTTGCCTGTACAATGGGCATAATTCCAGCCGAGCCATTGGGTGGTCAGGAAGAGCTGTAAAGCTCACATTGTGAATGGCACCCATCATGGTAAGAGCCGAAGAAGCATCCACACATGCTCCTTCTCATGACCTTGAGGGACCTACACTGCCTGCCTATCCCTGTCCCCCATTTGAGAAAGAAGCCTACAGGTCAACAGTGCCCTATATGGCCACAACCCCTTGATGGTGCACAGTCATCATCATGCATCAGCTGGGACAGCATGGGCTGGCTGGGATAGGGATGGCGGCAGTAAAGTTTTTCATGTGTAGGCTTGAAGCAAAATGTAATTAGCCTTTATGTGCAGAACAAGGCCCCATTGATGAACACAGCTGGTCTTTGTTTTGTCCTGTCATTGAGAGTGGGAGGTAAAAGTGTTCCTCTTCATGTTTATTAATGCAGGATTCCTTAGACAAATGGCAAGCACAGTTTCATATTTGTTGGAACATCGGGGGGCTTGCCAAAACAGTTGTTGTGTAAGCAGATTGCAGGGTTGCAGATTAGAACTCTTTCTGGGTTAAATAAATGAATTATTTCTGCTTGCATTTTTTTTCTTTTTTAGTGAAAATATACCTCCTCCTTAGATGGTCACCCTCTGTCCATCTTCTCCTTCTCTCTTAGCACATGAAGATGTAGCACTCTAGAGGACTTGAACTTGAACAGTCCAACAGATCCCATAGATGTGGATTTTGAAATTGACACAGTTCCCTGGGTGGCCTGGGAGGTGGCCAGGGGAACAGGCTTCCTTCAGCAGGCAACGGCTATCCCAAAGAGACCTAGACAGCTCCCATTGCCCATGTCCTTGAGCATGTATCACATAGCTGTTCACTTGCCCTTGAGTTTAAATTGCTCCCACACACATCAACAGTAGAGTTGTCCTCTGAGCTGAGAGATTGGGGTTCTAGGCACAAGTGCAGGAATTCCTTTTTTTTTCTTTTTCAGTACTAAGGATTAAACCCAGAGCCTTTGCACTGAGCTATGTCTTCAGCCCCTTTTTTATTTTATATTTTGAGACAGTCTCACTAAATTCCCCTGGCTAAGCTGGAACTTTCTATCCTGCCTCAACCTCAACCTCCCAAAGTGCTGGGATTACAGGCATCACCCCAGCTAAGAATTCCCATTTTTGTTACAGTCTATGGCCACCTCTTTGCTCTGTCCCCTGATCTAGGGTGGACAGGGAACTTCAGATGAACACATGCAGTCAGCCTCT